ACAGGTGCTGGGCTGTAACAAGAAACTCTTAAGACACTGTTGGTAGGAGGGAATACTGGTTCAGTATTTTAGGAACATTTGACATTAATAGAACAGAAGTTAACAATACCTGAATGCAGCTGTCTGTCTTCTGTGTACTCTGGAGAAGCCCTCTTCAAGTGGTATACCTATGAGTTACTTGGGTTCTTGTTAAATGTGAGTTCTGATTCACTGGGTCTATTACAGCTTAACCTGAGATTCTGCAATCTTCTATCTGAGGTATGGCAAGTCCTCAGAATACAGCTTGAATAGAAAGGCCCGAGAATACCACTTCCTGTTTTAGATATGTGGCACTTATGGCAAATGATAACCATTGTTTGGGGTGCTAGGTTAAAGAGACAACTTTGCTCTCTAGCCCAAAGACCTCATTTCCCACAAGGCTGCCCTGAGAGCTCAGGGATTTGATATCTCTTGCTGGACACCTCTTCCTGTTTGAGCTGTGGTATACTCATTGACAAGCTGTGGCCTAGGAAAACTTGGACCAGGAATATGTTCACAAGTATTCACAGGTGCACTTCTTTTGAAAGCAAAATGTTGGAAACAACCTAAAAATCCATTTATATTAACTAGATAAATTATATCTTTCCAGTGGACTTTTAAACACCTCTGAAAATAATAAAATAGAGCTGAGCTCATTAATATGAATGAATTTCAGACATCTAATGTAGTAAATTATGGAATATCTGCAGTATTCTGTTATAAAGGTTAAAAAACAAATGAAAATAATGTGTGAGGATACTTATATGTATAATAAACTGTTTAAAAACAAACACGAGGCTCGGCGCCTATGGCTTAAGTGGCTAAGGCACCAGCCACATACATCTAAGGTGGCAGGTTCAAATCCAGCCCAGCCTGCCAAACAACAATGAGGGCTGCAACCAAAAAATAGCCAGGTATTGTGGCGGGCGCCTGTGGTCCCAGCTACTTGGGAGGCTGAGGCAGGAGACTCGCTTGAACACAGGAGTTAGAGGTTGCTGTGAGCTGTGGTGCAACGGCACTCTACCCAGGGGGACAGCTTGAGGCTCTGTCTCAAAAATAAATAAATAAATACATAAAAATAAAAACAAGCCTGAGAATAATAAACACAGTTCAGAAGGGGGAAAGGGAAAATCTTCTGTAAGGAAATGTAGTCTCAAAGTTGGATTCTGAGTTTATGGGTATTTCTTTTAATGTGCTTTAATATATATCCATGTATATATGTATATAAATACATACATGTAATTATACATACATAAGTTACTCTTTTCTTTTTAAAGACTGTTACAGATTTAGGGGGTAAAGTGCAGTTCTGTTACATGGATGTACTGCATAGTGGTGAATCTAGGCTTTTAGTTTATCCATTGCCTAAGTAAGTAATGTACATTGTACCTATTACATTCTTCATGCCTCAACCCCTTACACATTCGCAACTTGTCACTCTTCTGAGTCTTCAATGTGTGTTACTCTGCTCTACATCCATGGGCACATACTGTTTAGCTCTCAAAAGGGAGAAGGTACAGTATTTAACTTTGTGTTTTGGAGTTATTTCATTTAAGGTAATGGTCTCCAGTTCCATCCATGTTGCTGCAAAAGGCATTTCATTCTTTTTTATGGCTGAGTAGTAGTCCACCGTGTGTGTGTGTGTGTGTGTGTGTGTGTGTGTCGGTTATATACACACGTGTACATGTTTTCTTTATCCAGTCATCCATCAATGCACTGTTAGATTCTGTGACTTTGCTGTTAGGAATCGTGCTGTGATAAACATGCCCATACCTTCCTTCCTTCCTTCTCTCCCTTTTATAGTCCAGTCAAGTTACAATTATTTACTTTAACCTTTTTTCTTTCTGAGAATTTATACCCTTCTTTAGTCAGCTTTGTTGACAGTACCAGCATCATATATACCTAATTTTTGGTGTTATATCTTCCTCCCTCCCTCCCTCCCTTCCTTCCTTTCCCCCTTTCGCTCTCCCTTTTATGGTTTAGTAGAGTTTCAATTATTTACTTGTAACTTTTTTTCTTTCTGAGGATTCATATCCTTCTTCTTTAGTCAGCTGTCTTGACAGTACCAGCATCATATATACCTAATTTTTGGTGATTATGTATTTCTAAGTTTTTACTTAAATAGTGTTAACTGTTCTTGTTACTCTGTTATATTGGCAGTTTTCTTTTTTCTTTTCTTTTCTTTTCTTTTTTTTTTTTTTTTTTTTTGGTAGAGACAGAGTCTCACTTTATGGCCCTCAGTAGAGTGCCATGGCATCACACAGCTCACGGCAACCTCTAACTCCTGGGCTTAGGCAATTCTCAGCCTCAGCATCCTGAGTAGCTGGAACTACAGGCACCCACCATAATGCCCAGCTATTTTTTTGTTACAGTTTGACCGGGGCTGCATTTGAACCTACAACCCTCGGTATATGGGGCCGGCGCCTTACCCACTGAGCCATAGGCGCTGCCCAGTATATTGGCAGTTTTCATGATATCTGTTATCTATCACTGGTTTAAAACAACAATGATTTATTACTTGTTTTGGTTCTGTGGGTTGGTTGGGTAGTTTGTCTGCTGTTTTTTTCTGGATTCACTCACATGATTTCATTTAATTAGAGTGCACTGGACTAGCAGATTCTAGATGGCTTCACTCACATGTCTAGCAGTGGTGTGCTCTTTATTGGGGCAGCAAGGAGTTTCCTCACATGACTAGGGTAGCTTCCTTACACGATTGTCTCTGCAGCATTTCAAGAGTGGAAAGGCATAAACTACAGGGCTTCTTGACACTTGAGGTTTAGGACTTTATGCCTTTATTTCTGCCACATTCTATCGATTAAAGCCAGTTACAAGATAAGCTATGATTCAAGGGGTGGTAAGTAGACTCCCTCTTGATGAAAGGAACTTCAAAATGTTTTGACAGTGTTTTCAGTTTTCCACAATGATAGTTTGTCTTTCTCCTAAAAATGATGAAGTACCTTCTACTCCTTTCCCCATTCCTTGTAAGTACTTATGTCACATACACACTATTTTTATCTGTCATCATATACCATATTTGTTTGGCCCAATTGTGTAGATATATGTGCAAGGTCAGATAATTAAGTTCACAAACTCAATCCTAGAAAACATGCTATATCCCTTATTGCTAAATATCTCTATGATCACTTTTGAAGAACTCCTCTTGGAAAGCTATGCACCCACCTCAGCACCTAGTCCACACTTTAAAGCAATTTTAGAGTTCTTTTTGTGAAATGGCCAACAGAGAACTGTCATCAGTATGAGGTATGACAGTTAAATTTGCAAACTCATCCTGGAATAAGTGCTATGGGGAATATTGATGGCCATTCTAGAAAAAGAGTTCCAGAATTGCTTTGAAGGCTAACGTAACTGCATACCTTCCCAAGGGGAATACCTTGAAGGTGACCTTAGTGATATTCAACAATGAGGTATATAACACTTTTTCTAGGATGAGTTCACAACCTTAATTGTCCTAATTCTTGTGTATGCAAATACATATGTATTTATGCTTATTTATTATATTGTCACTGCTCATCGCTAGCTGTTTTTTCTTTTGTTTTTGAGACAGTCTTACTACATTGCCCTTGGTAGAATACCATAGTGTCATAGCTCACAGCAATCTCACACTCTTGGGTTAAGCGATTCTCTTGCCTCAGCCTCCCAAGTAGCTGGGACTACAGGTGCCTGCCACAATGCCCAGCTATTTTTTTACTGCAGTTGTCATTGTTGTTTAGCAGGCTGAGGCCAGGCTCGAATCCACCCACCCACATACCCAGTATATGTGGCTAGCCACCCTACCCACTGAGCTACAGGCGCTGCCCACATCACTAGCTTTTTGCCATAGATTTTTCATTTATCTCCTGGTTGAAAAACCAGGCGGTCAGCATTTTTGAACCAGGGACAGTTCTGCCCTCTAGGAGATGTTTGATAATTTGAACTATCATGTTACCCACTTGTACTTTGTTCCAAATGGCCAACCTAGTAGTATGGTCAGGCCATTTCTTAGTTACATGTGAAATAAGGCATGTGGTTAAAAAGAGCAAATGAGAAATGACGATTATAGGGCAGAATGAGATCTGAGCTATTTACTAGAAGGAATTCAACAACCACATTCTTACAGGATCAAATAACCTCCATTCATCTTTCTTGAGACACCACTGCAGAGTATAATAATTAATGTTAATAGAGATTATTAATGAAGGAAAGCTATTTGAGTTCATTTTGTTTAAGAAGGTAAGGAAGCTTGGGAATGTTTTAGGAAAATTGCTGTTAAAAATTATCAAAGCAGGGGCAGCACTTGTGGCTCAGTGGGTAGGGCACTGTCTCCATATACCCAGGGTGGTGGGTTCAACAAAAAATAGCTGGGAGTTTTGACAGACACCTGTAGTCCCAGCTCCTTGAGAGGATGAGGCAAGAGAATCGCCTAAGCCCAGGAGTTGGAGGTTGCTGTGAGCTGTGATGCTACGGCACTCTACTGAGAGACTCTGTCTCTAAAAAAAAAAAAAAAAAAATTAAAGCAGGCCAGTCACAGTTTTTCATGCCTATAGTTCCAATATTTAGGAGGCTGAAATGAGTGAATTGCTTGAGCTCACGAGTTTGAGACCAGCCTGAACTAGAGCAAGACCCCATCTCAAAAAAATAGCCTGGCATTGTGGTGGGCACTTTAGTCTCAGATACTTGGGAGGGTGAGGCAGGAGAATTGCTTAAGCCCAAGAGTTTGAGGTTGCTGTGAACTTAGATGCCATGGCACTCTACTGAGGGCAACAAAGTGAGACTCTGTCTCAAAAAAAAAAATTATTAAAGAATTTGATGAGTAATTTTTCAATTTCTTTTGAAAATCATTTCTTTGGCCCACATTCTTCTCTAGATATACTAGATAAACATGAAGCTATTGAAGTTTCTACAAAGACTTTAAATTATTTTGTTAGCTTGTTATAACATACTTCAAGTTTGTTGCTGTGGATGAAATAATTTCTTGTGTTTAGTTGCAGGCTCTTTACCCTGTCCTGTTATGCAAAATGTTCTGCCTCCCAAGTCCAGCCCCACAGTGTCTTCATCAGCATCAGCGAGAACGCCTCCCACAGCAAATCGTCCAGTTGAGCCTGTGGCCTCAGTTGCACAGCCATCAGAGCAATTACAACAGAAAGGTATTTGAGAAATTTATTATTTTTAATAATATTCACGCATATATTCAACAATATTATACTCATACATACACGTGTACTCAAATAGCTGATTTTTAAAAGTCAGACTGTATAATTGTAGTCTGTAGCAAATATGAAAAATGTGATTTATAATCCCAGTCCACAACTATTTTCTTTTCCTTGTATTAACTTCCAGTGTTTGATTATATGCTTTATATATAACAATCATAGTTTATGTATCATTTTGTATTTTGCTTTTACATTTGTCAAATTATTCACAGTTCTTCAGCTAAAGTACTTATAGCTATTTTCATGATTAATAGTCCATTGTGTTGGCTTGGCACCTATAGCTCAGCAGCTAGGGCACTAGCCACATACACTGGACCTGGCGGGTTCAGGCCTGCCAAACAACAACCAAAAAAAAGAAAAAATAGCTCGGTGGTGTTGTTGGCTGCTGTAGTCCCAGCTAAGCAGGCCAGTCACAGTGGCTCATGCCTATAGTTCCAATACTTGGGAGGCTGAAGTGAGTGGATTGCTTGAGCTCATGAGTTTGAGACCAGCCTGAACTAGAGCAAGACCCCATCTCAAAAAATAGCGTGGCGTTGTGGTAGGCATTTATAGTCTCAGATACTTGGGAGACTGAGGCACGAGAATCGCCTAAGCCCCAAAGTTAGAGGTTGCTGTGAGCTGTGATGCCATGGCAATCTACCAAGGGCAACATAGTCTCAAAAAAAAAAAATCCATTGTGTTGAGGTATATGGTTTACTAATCTATTCCTTTATCATGGGACATTTCTTAATTTTAAAATGTTACTATAATTAATTTCTTTGACTGGGCATGGTGGCTCATGCCTGTAATCCTAGCATTCTGGGAGGCCAAGGCAGATGGATTGCCTGAGCTCATGGGTTCGAGATCAACCTGAGCAAGAGCAAGACCCCCATCCCTGAAAATAGCCAAGTGTTGTGGCACCTGTAGTCCCAGCTACTTGGGAGGCTGAGGTATGAGAATCACTTGAGCCCAAAAGTTTGAGGTTGCTGTGAGCTATGATGTCGTGGTACTCTACCAAGGGCAACAAAATAAGACTCTGTCTCAAAAAAAAAAAGTTATTATAATTTCTTTTAAGAGAAAGTAACCATTTTCTTATTTAGTGACTCTATACATCTTATTTAATGATTTCTGTGCTTGTCGTTATGATAGTAGAAACTTATTGACACAATTTTAGGAATGGAAGAGGTAAAATGGAATCGTAACCTATACTCTTGTATCATTGACAACTCTATAATTTATGTTTTTGTTAAATATTCTCTTTGTGTCAAGTAATTGACAGGCTGTAAAAATGTGTTGTTTTGACTCTTTTTCTACATTGTCTTCTCAGTTGGAGGTATTTTCATACTTTCTGTCTGGCTAAAATTTCAGAGTATTTATGTTTTAGGTTAATATGTACTGCATTTTTTATTTGACCAGACAGAACTGAACTGTTTTTAGGAGTCTATAATTTGTCTTTCCATAGCAGTCATTATAATATTTTAGAGACCATACACTATGTATGATAGTTTCTAATTTGGGGTATGAAGAATTTACTTTCTTACATTCTAAAATATAGAAAAGGAAAGAAACATTACAAATTCTTGGGCTAGTCTCCACTGCTTATGTATGTTAAGTGTTTATGTGGTCATCAGAGGCGTTTTTATCAATTGGTTGGATTATACAATGTAGATTTTCTTACTTGGTTTTATAGGAATATATATGGTAGCACCAAAGAGTGTTCATTGATTTCTAACAAGCCAATTGGTATATTGGGAATAGAATCTAGTTCTTACAAGCATTTGCCTTAAAAGTGAAGGGCTCATCAGAAAGTTTTGGTTACAACAAATAGCAAAAAATTAAGGGTAGGTCAAAGCTCTAAATAAATTAATGGTGTCCTATTTTTTTTTTGAGACAGTCTCATTTTGTAGCCCTTGGTAGAGTTCTGTGGCATCATAGCTCACAGCAACCTCAAACTCCTGGGTTTAAGAGATTCTCAGGCTGGTCTGGGACTTGTGAGCTCAGGCAGTCCACCTGCCCTGCCTCCCAAAGTCCTACGATTCTAGGCGTGTCTAAGATTCTAGTCTAGGATTCTAACCACTGCTCCCAGCTATGGCATCTTTTTATGTCTTCTACATTTATGGCTATCTCCCAGTTCTTCTTTTTTTTTTTTTTTGAGACAGAGCCTCAAGCTGTCCCCCTGGGTAGAGTGCTGTGGCATCACAGCTCACAGCAATCTCCAACTCCTGGGCTCAAGTGAGTCTGCTGCCTCCGCCCCCCCAGGTAGCTGGGATCACAGGCACCCCCCACAATGCCCAGCTATTTTTTGGGTGCAGCCATTGTTTGGCGAGCCCAGGCTGGATTCAAACCCGCCACCTTAGGTGTATGTGGCCGTCGCCTTAGCTACTTGAGCCATAGGCGCTGAGCCTATCTCCCAGTTCTTAAATATCTTGCTTTTATTGACCTTTTACGTTGCACTTGCCGATATTTGTCTTCCTATTGTATTTTCTTTTTCTTTTTTTTAAGAGACAGAGTCTTATTGTTAGCCCTTGGTAGAGTGCCATGGTGTCATAGCTCACAGCAATCCCCAGCTTTTGGGCTTAGGCAGTTCTCTTGCCTCAGCCTCCCCAGTAGCTGGGACTACAGGCACCTACCAGAACACCCGGCTATTTTTTTGTTGCAGTTTGGCTGGGGCCAGGTTCGGACCCACCAGTCTTGGTATATGGGGCCAGCGCCCTACTCCCGGGTTCAAGATCAACACAGCCGCCCTGTGTTTTCTTTTGACTATCATACTTTAAATACCATCCTGCAATCTTACTATATTATTTTTAAAACATTTTCCTGCTAAAAGATCTTGTTTCTTCTTTTTAAATACCGATTTGAAAGAGAAGATACTGCCATTTATTAAACACATACAATGTACCAGTTATTTTATGTTTATTATCTTGTAAGTCTCTGTATTAATCCTATGACATAGACATTATGCCTTGACCCTGAGATTTTAGAGGTTAAGTAACTTACCTGAGACTACAAGTTACAATCAGTAATAGAGCAAAGGATTTGTAACTTGGATCTCTGTGCCTTATCTTCTTTCTTAAAACAAAGCTTATTTTTTTCCTTGTTGTTGATTATTGGGAAACTCTTGATTTACCAAAGATAAACTTCTTGCTTAAGTAACAAAAAAGATAACACTGGAGACATTTGTAGTTTTTGTTGTTCTTTTTTAAAGTAGGAGACTAGTCTCTTAGTGCCTCTTAGTTTTCATGATTAAAGTCTCTTGGAGTTCTACTGTGAACTATGCATAGTATACTGTGGACCTAATATGACTACTAAACTATTAATACTTAAAAGACATGAGCCTTTTTTCTTTCCAGCTGCAAAGACACTTTTACTTAGTTGCTCTCCTAACTAAGCCTTTTTTTTTACTCGTTTTTAGAGGCGAGACTTCAAATTTTTTGAGTATCCTCCAAAAATCTTTGGACCTTTTATAAATTGACATCTAATGTTTTTTTGAAAGCATCTCACTCTGTCACCTGGGATTATAGCTCACAGTAACCTCAATCTCTTGGACTCAAGCAATCCTCCTGCCTGAGTCTCCTGAGTAACTGGGGGCTAAGGTGCCAGTTGTAATGCCCGGCTAGTTTTTCTGTTTTTAGTAGAGATGGGATCTTGCTCTTGTTCAGGCTGGTCTTGAACTCCTGAGCTCAACCATTCCACCTGCCTTTACCTCTCAGAGCGCTAGAATTATAGGTGCGGGACTCTGGATCTGGCTTATATCTAAAAATTTTTTATCAAAAATTTAAATAGTTATAGTTATATCTAAAAATTTTTTATCAAAAATTTAAATATAGTTATATAATTTGTAATATACTTGCATATGATGACTTTTAAAACAAAGATGTTACTTATTTTTTTAAATATATTTCCTAAAATAATATCTACCATCATCTTTTTACAAAATACCCAAATGAACCCTTCTTTACTATTTGTTTCATTTTTCCTTTTGAAGTCATAACTCCTCCCCGGAGGAGTTTCTAGCTTAAGATTACACATTATAATACACATAATATACACATAATATAATGTGTATTCTTAAGCTAGAAACTCTTTCATCCTTCTGTGTTTTTCTGACGCAAGAATATTGAAGTCTTAAGATGTGTTTTTATTTATTTATTTATTTATTTATTGAGAGATTCTTACTGTCTCGCCCTTGATAGAGTGCCATGGTGTCACAGCTCACAGCAACCTCAAACTCTTGGGCTTAAGGGATTCTGTTGCCTCAGCCTCCCAAGTAGCTGCGACTTCAGGCACCCACCACTATACCCAGCTATTTTTTGTTGCAGTTGTCCTTGTTGTTTAGCAGGCTCCATCTGTGTTTGAATCCACTAGCTTCTGTGTATGCGGCCAGTGCTGTAACCACTGGACTACTGGCACTGAGCCCTGACTATTCTTTTGTTGTAGTTGTCATTGCTGTTTAGTAGGCCTGGGCTGAGTTCAAACCCGGCAGCCCTGATGTGTGTGGCCAGCACCCTAACCACTGAACTATGTGTGCCGAGCCAAGATGTGTTTTCTTTTTTATGACCATAAGTCTATAAATGTTGACCATTTTTTTTCCTTTGGACTAAGCTACCTTTATAATTTTTATTGTTAATGTAAAGTTGATCAATCCAGTGTAAACATTGTGAATTTTGGGATTATATATACTGGAAGTATGGTTTTTTTTTTTTTTTTTAAGACAGTGTCTCATTTTGTTACCCTTGGTAGAATGCTATGGTGTCACAGCTCACAGCAACCTCAAACTCTTCTGCTTAAGCGATTTTCTTGTCTCAGCCTCCCAAGTAGCTGAGACTACAAGTGTCCACCACAACACCTGGCTATTTTTAGAGATGTGATCTCGCTCTGGCTCAAGCTAGTCTTGAACTTGTGAGCTTAGGCAGTCCACTTGCCTTGGCCTCCTAGTGTGCTAGGATTACAGGCGT